GTTTCGGGGTGTTAGACAAAGCCTATGTTTAGGAGAGTTAGACGTTAGACAACGCTTATGTTTCGGGGTGTTAGACAAAGCCTATGTTTAGGAGAGTTAGACGTTAGACAACGCTTATGTTTGGGAGAGTTAGACGTTAGACAACGCTTATGTTTGGGAGAGTTAGACGTTAGACAACGCTTATGTTTGGGAGAGTTAGACGTTAGACAACACCTATTTTTGGGAGAGTTAGACAAACTGCGTATAATAACGTCATATATTAAATAATATGACTATTTTCAATGCGTTTGAAATGTATATTTTAGAAATAGTAATCTAGGCTTTCGTTATTTTAAAAGACGAATCTATGTATGGATCTATAGATCATTGAGTTTCTCACAGCATTGGATTTTGATTTGTTATCTTCTATACAATATAGGCCAACCGAACGATCTTTCTTAGCCATGAACTACAAAGGAAACCTATTTTGTAAAAGGATAAGACTATTCACACCCGGGTACCAGAAGTGAGACGTGGGATGAAAAAACTATTTAAAATAGTATTGTCGGGTTTGCAAGACAAAATGAGGTATCAAATGAAAGATAATTGACTGGACGTTATGTTTTTAAACCTATTTCTTCAGTTTAACTAAAATAAACTGCCACAATTGACATTCTATTAGCATTGGTCTAATGGGACCCGGGTGAGAATGGCGGCGCTGCGTGTCCGGGGTCATTTTTGACTTTTAAAAAAATTAATCCCCAACCTCAAGTGATTTGACAGGTTTGCAGCTTTTAAGAAAAGGAAAGGAACATTTGAAATAAAGTCAACTTAATGTAAAAATAACTACATCTTAACGTTGTTATAGTTCTTAAATACATTGACCTTTTGATATGCATTTAATTTGGTTTTGTTCTTGTCATTTTATACTGTGGACTTTTTTTTTTAGCAAGTAGAAATCCATCTTGGAAGTCCGGGGGGGGGGAGGGGGTGACACCATGAGTTTACCGCACCGGGTGACACCAACCCTAGCTACGCCACTGCTTTTATGCAATACAATGGCACATTGGGGTTAATACTTAAACTAATTTAACTTTAAAATTATACTTACTTTCAAATTGATAATAGTAAATACATAGATGATAGTACTGTCGTATCAAGTTTCTTCTTAGGCACTTCGACAAAACCCACAAATCGGATATCGTAATTTCGCTGTCAAATTTGTATACAAATGTTTTGACTCTCACATTCAGATAATAATTAAAACATTTAAAAAAAAAAAATTAAGAATGATAATATTTACATTGCAAATATTACATATATCATAGGTTTACATAAAGGCATATTTATTTTATCGGATTTACATAATATAATACATACATTTCTGTTATTGTTAGAATTCCCTTTAGTGCATACATTTTAGTTTTCGCGGCTTTGAGCACAAAATGTATGCGCTGTTTGGTGCAGGTCTAGGGAATGTTATATTATGTGCTGTTTGGTGCAGGTCTAGGGAATGTTATATTATGTGCTGTTTGGTGCAGGTCTAGGGAATTGTATATTATGTGCTCTTGCAATCAGCGTTACCTGTGCAGCTTAGCTTCTTCTTATGTGCTAGCATATATGAACCGGTTTTACTGGGATTTGTAATGGAAGTTATATGGCGTTACTTTTCAGTTGTTCATGGGAAATCACAAATGCCCGGGGTGCTTAAAATCCCATTGTTAGTCATTTTTAGTCTTGGTGTACTGAGTACTGTATTGTCAAAACAAAACAACAAACAAATTTTTTTATTTTTTAAAAAAAAAAGATAAATTTCAACGCACTTGAAATATGCATTTAGGAAATAGTTAATTAGAACTTCTTTATTTTTATGTTTGGAATTTTTTTCAATGCTTGATCACCATTCTGCAGTTTTGTCTATTGTTAACGTTAAATTCCATTTTTTTTTTTTTTTTTTTTTTTTTTTAAATAAATACACTTAACAAATTTAAAATGAGGCAATGTATCGCTATATGGGTTAACTCTTTGTCTCCGGAATTAATTTCCGTCGTTCTGGCAGAATGATCTATTTTGCATATTTGTTACGCACCACTATGTTATCTCTAAACGCTAAACCGTCAAAACGTTTTTGTTTTTCATTTAAAAAATTTAATTTTGGTATGGAATTAAAGGATGCATCTGCTTTACAGACAATACTGCTTTTTTTTTTTTCTTTTTTTTTTTTTTTTCTAGGTTTATAAACTGGTTCCCAACAGCAAATCGCCTTTCTCCATGTCGCTGGATAACCCAAGGAAACATCATGTGGAGGATACAGTTTATCACCATTGACGTCTCAGGAGTTGTCGGAATGTTTCATTGCACCAATGTTATCCGCCTACGGGACTCCATCTCAGGGTTTGAATTCAGAGTTTCCTTCTCTTAGATGAGTTGTCCTCCAAGTTTCTTATGTTAAAATTTTAATCTATTCAATTTGATTGACGATTTAAGGAAAATAAAAAAAAATTAAATCAAAACCTCACCAAATGTTCACAACGCGATCATTCAAAAATCACACAAAGAGAAAGTTATTACCCAAAGTGAAACAAAAATGCTTGTTTTTCTCCTTAACTTTATCTATAGGTGCATCACAAATAATAAAGATCACATTAAAAATAATTTAAAATGATACACCAGAGCACATTATCCATTGTCGCAGCTACACAAAAAATGTCCGAAAAAAAACCTGGAAACAATCTGTTGCTATTAGAACATATTTGCACTATATCCTTGTATGTATTAACATTTATTATGGTAAATGGAAAATTTATCATAAATTTGTCATATATTTTCATCTGGGTTTAGCTATGGTAACCCTGAAAACAATCCATATGGATGTGCGGATTTGACACACATCCAGCACAAACGTATTAACCAGTACATTTCGCCCTTATCTACAGTGTTTGCACACTGTCCATTTGGGAGCTAATGGGCACATATTTTGCTCTGATAAGTCTGAAACTTCCAAATTTTTTACCCTTCTGGAATAATGGTCGCAGCACATTCTGTTTATCTGCCCTTAAGTTGTAGTTTTGAATTACTGGCGGCTATTTTTAAAGATTTTCTCTGATCTTGTGCGCTTATAAAAGGCAACATTTTACACTTATTTCCTGTAGCAAGTAAAGAAAAGTGATCCAAGGCTTCGAATCACTGAAACGTTTTGACATACCACGGTGAATACATCCCATTGCATTTTTTACTTCAATGTGGCATGTACCGCGCTTCGAGCCTTTGGGGATGAAACGTGATTTTCAAATAATCTTTATTATTATTATTATATATGGCACTGGGATAAATAATGCCTCCCACAAAAGCTTAAAAATGTTCTTCCTTGTTCAAAGGGTAAAATAGAAACATCGAATTCAAGTATACTCAAAAATATACCTCTTGATTTTGAAATAATCAAAACATTTCTGGGGAGCAGGCTCCCTAAACCACTCAACATATCAAGATTCATCGGCGCCTTCGAATTCCGCCCCACTTCTTGATGAAAATGATCGCCAATATTGGTACCCATAGATACACTGCCTAGTGGCGTAGCTACTATTAAGGCTCCCATGAGCGGCCAAATATTTTTGCCGTCCTCCCTTTCACGATTCAAACTCTGCAGTTGTCCAGAAATGCCACACCAGCATATAAAGAAAAGGTGACACCTTTGATGGACCACTCCATCCGCCCTATTTCGACGCCACTAGCAGGGGCGTATCTACAGCGTTTGGCGTCAGGTGACAAGATTCATTTTTACGCCCCACGCCCACTCAACTCTGAAACCCATGATTTTCAACAATTAATACCATCAAAGCCCCCCCCCCCGGGGCTAGTCTGGCGCCCCGGGACATGTGTCCCATCTGCGACCCCTTAGCTACGCCTCTGGTCACTGGCACCGCCCCCTCTCAAAAATCTGAAGTGCCCCTCCCCCCCCCCCTGGGGGAGCAATTTCTGAAACAAACACTGGCTGGTAGTTCATCAGCTGATGAATTATCAATTTCATTATTATTTTCGTCACTAGTACTACTATCATAAGTTTAAGTTAACTAAATCCCTAAAATAAATTAATTGTAACTATAGCTGTTAATTCATTGTCCGTAGAAATTGAGCATATTAACTCCGCTAAGTCCGGCTCCAGCCCGGGTGCAAAAGGATATGGGCTGTCGTGAGGACGGCTACCTCACATGAAAAAAAACACAAAAAAACTGACAGCAACTTAAACATGAAGGGAAAAAAAAATATAATATCTTTTTTTTTTTTTTTTTTTTT